TCCTCTGCATTGAATGGACTGCTTGGGGAAAGAGAATAACTTTTGCCAAAATGTTAAATTCCATTTTTATCATTATAATTAGTTAATTTATTAATAATAATAATAGGAACAGAGCAAAGGGGGAGCCTTGTCAGCATGGTCATCAGGACAGCTTCACCAGGAAGCTAGAGCTTCAGGCTCCCAGGAAACCACCAATCCATTCACTGGGGGAAGGGATCAAACAAAGAGGGATATACTAGTAGGGGAGCAAGAAAGTTGGGATCACAATGGGAAGTGCTTGCTTGTCAGTCTAGCCTGGAAAACAATGAATTGGCTAGAAGGGTGGAGCCACTGCAAGCACACATATTCTTGGAAGGGTAAAATCCTAAAGGCAAAGTGTTCTCTCTAGTTTTGTTCTTGCCCTGGCTTTCCCTTGCTCTGTGACCTGCAGTTGCCCCTGGCATTTGCCTGCCATGTGGTCTCAAATAGCAGCTTGGCCCAGGGCCAGGCAGACTCCACACACAGGATGCTGGACTGCACGGAGTGGAGACTTTATTACGGAGTGGAGACTCTGGATGTGGCCTTAATTCTTGCCCTGCTGAAGACAAGATTGAACTTTTTCTATGGTGGAACAGGGAAATGGGACAGTGGAAACCCAGGGGTTTAATTCCACAAAATAGAGATCACTCATCCTACCATGCAAAAACCCCACTTCCACATGTAATGAGTGGGAATACAAAGTTAACAAACTTTATTGTTTCTTATTCTGCACCAATGATTGCACTGTTAGCTACCAGGAGAAATAAATATGAATAAAATAGAATCTTGAAGTAGAACTGGCTTTTCTTTCTTTCTTTCTTTCTTTCTTTCTTTCTTTCTTTCTTTCTTTCTTTCTTTCTTTCTTCTTCTTCCTTTCTTCTTCTTCTTCTTCTTCTTTCTTCCTTCCTTCCTTCCTTCCTTCCTTCCTTCCTTCCTTCCTTCCTTCCTTCCTTTCTTCCTTCCTTCCTTCCTTCCTTCCTTCCTTCCTTCCTTCCTTCCTTCCTTCCTTCCTTCCTTCCTTCCTTTCTAGAGGGTAGGGACAGACCAGACATTCTAACAAAGGTAAAGGAAGGAAGAGTGAGAAGAAAGGAAGAAAGACAAGCAGCCAAAGTACCAGTGTCTTAACTTAAAACTAGGAGGAAATTCACTCCAAGAATCTAGGTATTATGATTCAATTGGCAAAAAGAAAATCAAGAGCTCTTTTATGAATTCTAAGCCCAAAGAGCAACTTTTCCGGTTCATTATCTAGATTCTAGTACTGACCTGTGTCTAAGATCTTTGCAATTTTGCTTAGATCTCACTGGCTATCGGCAAATGTCATTTTTTAGTAGGAAACATCATCACTAACCATATTTTAATTTTAGAATTGTAGGGCTATGGCAGAGACAACTAATATAAAGACATAGCCCATGGGAGATCTGTCAGACTGCCGCTAAGCATCAAGAAACACTCACAGCAGACACTCGTATGCAGTTAGAAACCCGGATGAGTCAGGTAGCCGCATGTGGCACAAAGAAGGATCAGAATTCTCTTCATCAGCCTATTGTTGCAAGATCTTTGATCCAATTTAGTTTTTTATGATTACCAGACTGATTCATAGTTCAAGTATCTTGGTTGAAAAAAAAATTCTAGGCGGTGGGAGGAAATGTTTCTCTGGAGGGCAAGCATGGATTGTAAAAACAAAACAAAACAAAAAGCAGATCTTAGACAGAAACAGGACATTGAAAAAGAATCCAGAACCTTATAAATAAGAGAACCATAAAGGACTTAGAGAGCTTCTAGTCTAAACTTCAAAGCTGCATATACTGAAGCTAACTTCTCCATATGTTAAATGATCACAAGAAAATGCCTATCTGAGCATATACTTTAATTCTGAGAAGTCAGAGCATTTTTAAACTATTAATAAACTTCATGGATCTAAAGATCCAAAGTACAAAATTCTACTCGGATGATTCAAAAACACTGGTAACATAGAGAAAGACAGGGTTGAGCAACCACCCTATAGATTTTTTCTCATAGAATATTCATTGTCTGTGCAAATTGCCTGTGAAATTGCCTATTTCAACACATCAATATCTAAAAAGTATGCAATCTAGTGAAGCAAGTACATAAATTGCTAGATATTGAAAACTAATATGCAAACACATTTCCTCTCCTACCTGTAAAAATGTGTGAGTGTCTTCTTGGTGACCACAAAGGTCAAATTCTTACCGGTGCTATAGGATTTATACCTAACTTACTGACATCAGCATTTTTCTCAGGAGAATCCCCAACTGTTTCAAGAAACAAATAAAAATGAAATCCCAATAGAGAGCATTCTCATGGGGAGAAATATTAATTGGTAGTGCTACGCTTTCTCAATTCAAGATTTTTTAATTCTGTATTTTATAATTCATTGACATTTAGACCATTTGTCTGCTATGAGAAGGAGGGCAATATTTAAGACAACAATGAAAAACAAATTTACGATGCTTTGGGGACACAATTCATGAAACTGAATTCAGGTCATTGTCTTCATTATTTCAAGTTCTCTATTTCCTACTTTGTTTGTCCTTTAACTAATTCACACAAAATATATTCTCAGTGAAAAGTTCAATGCTGCTTTCTCTCCAGAATACAAATATGAATAACATATCTGTCCCCTAAAGAGATTTGCACATTGATGGGATACTTAAATAAATAATACTAGGTACAAATGATTAGTTTCCAGAAGAAAAACACATGGAATGAGAGACACTGGTAACTACCAATGACAACAACAGTGTTTCATATAAACAATAATCAACAAATATACACTGAGTGGCCAGATTATTATTATGATCTCTGAACGCATAATAATCTGGCCATTCAGGGTAGACTGAACAGAGTTGGGATTTTAAAATAAGGTTTTGACATTTATAAGAACTGCATTGAGGGTAGTTAGGAAGAAGCAGAGCACTTACTAGCCAGAGGCTGGGGGCCACTATCTCCTGGTTCCTTGACATATCACAATTTGCCAGCATTCCCTTATACATAAGTACACTAAGAGGCCAGATTATTATGCGTTCAGAGATCATCATAATCTGGCCACTCAGTGTATGTTAAATATATGAAAGACTATATTTAATTTGTTGTTTCTACCATGCCTCTCATGTTTGGTTTTCTGGCATCAACATCACCTGTTGTTTCTCCCATTTATTAAGCTCCAGACACATGGCCTTTCTTTTTGTTATTCTAACATGCCAGGCTTCATGCCTAAAACTTTGATTCTCCTGGTTACAATTCCCAAAGACTTTGGTTATGCTGCTCATCTAGACTGCAATTCAAATGTCACTTTCTCCAGCAGTCCTTTCCCATGCATTGAAGCTGGCCCGTTAGCATGACCTTTGCTTCTGATGTTGCCAGTTACCATCTTCCATATTGACTTGTCTGACTCTCTCCACAGCATTAAACCCACACCTGAGATATTCCTTTTTCAATTTATCTTTATTGTAAAAGGTATTACATATGAGATATTCTGTTTGTTTGCTATCTGACTCCCCTCCCTCCTAAAGTTTAATAGAGGACTTTTTTGTCTTGTTTATTTTGAATCTCTAGTTTCTAATATATTGTCCTGTGATCAACATAAGTTCAGTGTATAAACATTTTAAACCACTGATAGCAATCACTGTCTCCAGATAACAGCTCAGCAACAGATCTGGAACGCAAAATCCAAGAGTAAGATAGAAGCCTCCAGGGAGAAAGTGTGCATATTATAGGTCATCTATGGGAAGACAAGAGTAAGAAGTGAGACAAAGGTTCATATACTCATATAAGTCTTATAATATTAATTGACTTTTGAAACAATATATATAGTTTACATTAGCAATTAAAACAATTACAATAAATGATTTTAACTAAACATGTGCATATATGTAAAGACATAGAAAAAAGACTGGAAGAATATAAAATCCCAATTGTGATTTTTTGGGGGGTTACAGTGCTTAATATCTATATGGTATGCATCCCACCAGTTCAAATTTTATATGATTAATATTGTATGAGTGAGGAGAGGCTAGTTCCTAGAAATAAGTAACTCAACATATTGCAGTAGCTTATAAAACAAAGGGCATTTCTCATTCATTCTGTTTCTATTAGGTCTAGTAATAATTAATGAATTGACAGTGAGCTCTGTTTCACATCTCCTCACTCAAGAACCTGTGATGCTCACCATGGAAAGAAAAAACCCACTGAAGGGTTCTCTTACCAACAATTATATGCTGAACTGAGAATTGATACATATGAACTCTAATCTAATTCATTGTCCAGAAATAGCAACACACTTTCACCTACAGAGAAATATAATTCTATCATGTGCATACAATTCAAAAGAGAAACATAATTCTATCATGTGCATACAAGGCAAAGAAATTAAAGTAACTGGTGAACAAAATGACTGACAATTATAAAAATCTAAATTTTTGTAATGAAAACTTTATTTACTATGTTTTGATTTTAAAAAACCATTAAACTTTTTTTTAAGTTTTTATTGTTGAAAAACCATTAAACTTTTTTAAAATGCAGTACTTTCCATTGGTTTGCCATATTTCTTATTTTACCCCAATTTAGGAAAAAGGTCTAGAAAATGTTTTAGAACCAAAAGAATCCTATATAATAAAAGCCTAATATACAAATTTGTCCCTGGAGATCGACCACCTGCTATGATGTACACTGACCACCAGGGGCAGTGCACAACATGGGTGGGTGATGCAGTGCTGGCATCTGGTGGCAGTGGAGTTGCTGCAGGCCCCAGTGGGTCCCTAGGAGAACAGGACTGTGGCAGGTGATCGAGTGGCACCAGGCCAAGATGGGGTGCCAGGCAGGGCTGCAGGGCTGCAAGGCTGGGGGCATGAGCTGGAGCTGTGAGACTGGGGGCACCAGCTGGGGCCCGATCCCGAAAGGCCACCCTGAAGGACCCCACCTGTTCATGAGTTCATGCACCAGGCCTCTAGTAGTGATATATTTTAGGGAAATAATTTTTTCCTGAACAGCTCTCTGGTTAATGCTTCTTTCACATCTTTATTTCTAAGGCTATAAATCATGGGGTTCAACATGGGAATTACTGTAGTATAAAATACTGCAACTTTTTTCCCTTGTTCCACAGATTCCTTTGAGGGGGGTCTAAGATATATGATGAAGAGAGTTTCATAGAACTAGGTGACAGCTGTCTGATGGGAGCCACAGGTAGAGAACACTTTGCGCCTGCCTTCTGTGGAATGCATCCTCAGGATAGCAGAAAAAATATAAAGGTAAGAAACCAGGATGACGAGGAGGGGAAAAGGTAAGGTTACTTCCAGCACAAACCAACATTGAGGTTTCTTTTATCTTGGTGTCCGAACAAGCCAGTTTAAGCAGTGGTGGGTCAGTGCAGTAGAAGTGATTAATTTCATTGGGGCCACAGAAGACTAATCCGTAGGTCCACATGGTCTCCTTCAGCCCAATGAGGGCTCCATACGTGTAAGGCACCATGATGAGGGCCACGCACACACTCTTGGACATGTTGACGCCATAAATCAGAGGGTTGCAGATGGCCATGTATCGATCAAAGGCCATCACAGCCAGAATATAGAGCTCCACGTGAACCAAAGCAATATAAAGGTAACACTGCGCCAGACAAGCAGGGCAGGAAATGGTTTTCTTCTCTGACCAGAAAAGCGCTAGCATCTTCGGGGTTATGTTGGAGGAGAAGCACAGGTCCACAAAGGATAAGAGGCTCAGGAAAAAGTACATGGGTGTGTGGAGACTGGCATTGACCTGGATGAGTACAATCATCACCAGATTCCCTGCCACGGTGACCATGTAAATGACCGGAATCAGCAGGAAGAGGAGAATCTGCAATTCTAGGCGATTGGTCAGTCCAAAAAGAATAAACAGTCACTGAGGTGAAGTTTCTTCTCATGGTCTCCTTCAGTGAGAGAAGGGAACTGGACACATAGATTACAGCAAAATAAAAAAATTATATATTACCATACAATAACAATCTTGGTTTTCCTTCTTCTCAGCATTTGTTTTCACCATATTTCTACTTTTTTTCTTGGTAAACTTGGTCTTAGTCAAGCATTGCAAACTAGGAGTACTGAAAGCAGCTCTCTTGATTTTTGTGATATGCACTGCTATTCTTTCTTTGCTTTGTTTTCCCCTCTCTTTCTTTTCACTTCCTTCTAATGATTCCTCTCTCTCTCTCTCTCTCTCTCTCTCTCTCTCTCTCTCTCTCTCTCTCTCTCTCTTCCTCTTTCTCTTTTTCTCTTTCTCCACTTTTTCCTTAAGAGAGAGAAAAGGATCTAATATGAAAGAGCAATATTTTAAAATGATGTTTTTAATAACTTTGACACTATTGATTCCCTGCAGGAGAATCCCTAGAACTTAAGTTGGTCTAATTTGATGCTTTCTCCCCCTTTAAACTCCATAGAATAAGGACTTTTAGGTGGGACAGGGGAATTTTTCTTCTTGAAAATACATACATAATTGCATTTGACAATTGCTGAGTCTTTAAATTCCCCAGCCATTAGCATCCCCTTAGAATTATTTTAGAGAGATTTGCTTAGAAGTAAGAGGGACAGAAATTCTCTTCTTTTAGTTTCCCACTTCTTTCCACTGTGACATGTGAGGCTTGTCTCTTTTATCTAATATTAGTAAATTAGTAATTCAAGGTGGGTAAAATATTTTGCATCAAATTGATAGTAGTAGAGTCTAAGGACCAGACTGATCTTCCAAAGGAACAAGCTGGGGTCCGATCCCGAAAGGCCACCCTGAAGGACCCCACCTGTGATGTTGGAGCTGCCCAACCTTCAGAGCTCCCTGGGTGGCTCTCCATCTCTGAACCTGGTGTTCTGTCTGCTCACTGACTTAGAAAAACATGTATCCTTTTAGAACAATTTCTTTTTGCCTGTTGCTTGCAAAGAAAAATTCATACTAATGTTAACTAAAATAAAATTTTTCTATGTAAAGCTCATATATATTCACTGAGAACATCGTGTTTAAAGCTGCTCTTTGAATATGAATGCGGCCCCACAGTTTAGGGATTTGCATAGCACCAAGTTTACTTCTGTTTAATCAGAGTAGTGATGCACTCTCCTCCATTGTTATATGTCAAATTCTTTCACTTTTTTTCTTCTGATTGTTTGTTTACTGTCCTTTAGAGGTAAATTTTAATTCGTGAAATTCACACTTTGTGTGTTTTAGTAAATGCATACACCCATGTAACCTATAATGAGAAATTCTTAGGTCTAAGTTAGGACTAGATCAAACAGATTAATTTCTCAACAGGAACTCCCATTTGACCCAGTGACCTCACTTCCAGGAATATATCCCAAGAAATTAGAAACACCAATCAGAAAGGCTATATGCACCCCTATGTTCATTGCAGCACAATTTACAATATCTAAGATTTGGGAACACCCTAAGAGCCCATCAGCAGATGAGCAGATTAAAAAAACTTACACAATGGAATACTACACTGTGGTAAAAAGGGAATTCTTACCCTTTGCAACAGCATGGATGGAACCAGAGAGCATTATGTTAAGTGAAATAACCCAGTCAGAGAAAGATAAATATCATATAATCTCACTCATTTATGGAATATAATGAACAACATAAACTAGTTAACAAAAACAGATCTAGAGACAGAGAAGCATCGATCAGATCGTCAAACCTCAGAAGGAAGGTAGGGGAGAGTGGGGGTAACAGGGAGCGATCCACCAAAAGACTTGTAAGCATGCATATAAGCCTAATTAAATAGATACAGACACCAGGGGGTTGAGGGCATGAGTGGAGGAGGGGTAATTGGGGGGGAGGATAAGGACACATATGTAATACCTTAATCAATGAAGAAAAAATAAAACCAAAAATAACTCCACAGCCACAGCACAAAATCAATTTGTGAGTTCTGATGTTTGTCATTTATGCAATTCTGCCCTACTTCTTGAACAAGTCTCATATTCTGAATTTCAGTTTTATCGTTAATTTATTTATTTTACAAATACTTACATGGTGTCTTATATTCCAAGCTTTGATCTAAGTGCTTTATAAATGTTAATTTATTGAACCCTCAAACCAATTCCATTGCATTCTGTCCTCCATAAGTATAAACAGTAATACATTTCTCAAGTTTAGAACAGAGGAAATAATGTTATGAATATAGAGTGTACTAATAAAAACATGGACTATAGTGTCAACTTCACACTGGCTTCTTGTTTCCTGTTATGGCAGAAGAAGGAAGTGTCTTACTGAAAGTAACTCTCATAAATAGAAATAAATTAATTAATGTCAGGCAAAGACATGGGGGTGTCATAGTAAATTCTCTTTCCTAGAGGTGACAGCAAGTCTCAACAGCATTTTGGTAACATTTCTGTAAACCATGGGATCAAAACCCTATATTGTAAATGCTACAGAATTATAAAAAAAACTAAAAATTAGCTCATGTATTCAACATGTGTATTAAAATTGTATGTATTTGTGTGTATATATATATATATATATATGATCATACCATTTATTGATTTGTAGATATATAAAAAAAATTTAAGACATAAGAAACTATTAATAGTGAAGATTTTAAGAAATAAGAATAGAAGATCAGGATAGAGAAAAAATATTTTTTATTCTTTTACTTTATACTCTTCTAGAGTTTTGATGTTTTACACTATGGATGTTTTATAATCTAAAAGTAATTTATAAAATTATAAATGTAAAAATGTATAAAGGAAGAGAAAGTATACCCATATGTATATATAACTTCCACCTCTTTATATACACAATGCATTCACATGTCTCAAAGAAAACTATGCAACCTCTATACACGTCTTTTATGTTTTGTAGTTATATTAGAGCTTTCATCAACAACTTAAAATTGATTTTACTATAAATGCAGTTAAAGTCAAATCCAGCTGTTATAAATATAACTTTTATTTAATTTTTAAAGAAAGATACACTATGACTTCACTTCAAAAGTACATTTTGAAGTGAACCGATTTCCACAAAGCCTGTTTTACATCCTTGTTCCTCAGACTATAAATGATGGGGTTCAACATAGGGCTTACGAAAGTGTAGAATACAGCAATGATTTTGGACTCCTCCACTGACTGGTCTGTGGGGGGTCTAACGTACATGCAGAAGAGGGTCCCATAAAACACAGTCACTGCCACCAGGTGGGACCCACAGGTGGAAAAAGCTTTCTGCCTGCCTTCAGCAGAACGTATCCTCAGGATGGCAATGAGAATGAAGATGTAGGAGATGAGGATAATAAGGAGGGAGTTGGAGAGGTTAAATCCTGCTACCACGAACATGGATGTCTCCTTAATGAAAGTGTCAGAGCAGGAGAGTCGAATGAGGGGTGGGTCAGCACAATAGAAGTGATTGATAATGTTGGAGCCACAGAAGGTCAAGCGGTACGTCCACATGGTTTCCATCAGGCCACTAAGGAACCCATAGACATATGGACCAGCAATCAGGCGAATACAGACACCTTTGGACATCTTGCTGCTGTAAAGCAAAGGGCTACAGATGGCCATGTACCTATCATAAGCCATTACAGCTAGCATGTAATATTCAGTTATCACCATGGCGATGAAAAAATAACACTGGACTAAACATGCAGCATAAGAAATGGTTTTCTTTTCTGATAAGAAGTTCACCAACATCTTAGGAGTCACGTTCGTGGAATAGCACAGATCCAAGCAGGACAAACTGGCAAGAAAGAAGTACATGGGGGTGTGGAGTCTTGAATTTATCCTGATCAATACCAACATGCCCAGGTTCCCTCCAACAGTGATCAGATAGATCACCAGGAACAGCACAAAGAGGATGGGCTGAAGCTCTGGACGATCCGTTAATCCTAAAAGAATAAATTCAGTCACCAAGGTAGAATTTCCTCTGACCATTTTCTTAGGTGCCAGCATTGCTCACTTAGATGAATGAAAATAAATTAAGAAGTGAATGAGAAGTTCATCATATGTTTCTTTTCTTTTTTCTCTTCTTTTCCTTCTCTCTTCTTCTTCTATTCTCAGTCACCCTCACACATAGCTATTATTGGAATCTGAGGCTATAGGAGTGGGTACTTTTAAAAGAAGGTGAAGGTCCCTATTATCTAGATATATAACATTCAGATGATTCCCAAATAAAATGACCCTTGTGACACTAAGTTGTTTCAGAATGTGGGAGTTATGACACAAAGTTTGTCTAAAAATGGACTGAACCACAAAGTGCCACTTGCAATACAACATAAAATAACAGGTCTCACATTATCTCAAAATGATAATATGTGTTTGAAAATGTTTTTCAGTCATTAGCAGTTGTGCATATTTAGAAGTTCAACCTCTGAGTACTGCACTCCTTACTGAATTAGACAGCTTAAAATTATAGAGGTTTGAAGCAAATTCCCTGGGACCTGTTTGACTATATTACCCATGAAATATAGGAGATTGTGGTATCCCTAAATGAATAGATCACAGATAAGAACCTTGAAATTGGAAACAAATCCCTAGATATATTACTGATGGAAAAATATTTATTCAGAAGAGTTTATATGAGTGAGAGCAAGAGAAACATAGATGAGGAAAAGAGAAGTAGTCAAAACTTAGATCATAGTTTTATTTGCCTTTTTTCCCATTTAACACTAATTGCATTTTGCATCAGGATAGGTATCAAAGAATGATAAGCTTCAACTGGGGCTTAGAGGTAACTAAGAATTTTCTAGGGTAAGTGTTGGGAGGACTTTCAGTTAGTGAGGTTGGTCTATGCAGAGACAGCAGGCTTTCAAGAGAAATCAAAGGTACTTCACCTAGAGGCAGGTATGAATTTCTATTGTCAAATGAGACATTTAAGAAGACAGAGGAAGATAAATAATACATGATCTCGCTCATTTGTGGAATAAAATGAATAACATAAATTGATAAATAAAAACAGATCCAGAGACAG